TCTTATAATCTGATTATCTCTCTCATCCATGTGGGAAGATGAATCTTGCATCCTATTAAAATTCTGCATGAAATGTTAACCCGACATGCCTTGTGCCATAGTTCCCTTCAACTGGGTATTTTAGAGTACTTTCGTCTTTCATTTCCTTCAGCATTTACATGGTGCACTAAAGGACTTAAAGTGTTAAATATTATTCAAACAAACCCAGTAAAAGGCATCCACAATAAAGACCAGGGAGACAGAGAGATTACAGTGTTTCGTTCCAGGCCCGTACCCTCAGGAGAACCAGGAACACAAGACAAACCCTTAAGTATTTATATACTCCCCAAGCTGTATGGAGCAAGATCACAGGAAGCAGTTAAAGACACAGCAGCTCAACCCAGCATTTAACTAGATGTCTTCGGAACCGTGCTGTTTTGTGCAATTACAAACCAGATGGAAAACAGATTATGATTAGCCAAGCCTGACATTAATGGAGCTTGTTTTTTCTAAAGTAGCCCGTCGACCATAGGGGCTACCACAGGGGCTATGGCACTAGACTTACAAAGGGAATCTTCCTGTAGGAACCATCCGGCTCAGGTGGGGAGGGTGGTCCCAGAGGCGCTACTGTTCTCTGCCATGAAATCAGCAGGAGTCCCTGCGAATCCCACCACTCTGGGGACCATTTGGGGTGCAGAGGAGCATGAGGGCAGGTTCTCTACTCTTGTTAAAGTGGAGCCAGTTGACCAGGCGCCACTCTTGAGACCTTCTTGAACTATATCCTGCTGCTTGGTACTAAGGAGAGATCAAATCAGCCAAGCTTCCACGTGTGTGTGATCCCCTGACATGGCCGTGTCAGTCACTGCTCTCCTGCGTGGGCAAAGCATTGGAGCCACCTCACGGATGAAGCTGACCACGTCCCCTGCATCTGGGCCACCACACAGACAAAGCTGACCACATCCCCTGCATCTGGGCCACCCCACGGATGAAACTGATCACATCCCCTGCGTTCAAAGCCTTTCACTCCTTCCTCCAGTTTCAGCCTCATCATCTCCCCACCTAGACTGTCGTGTGTCATCAGCAGGCTGCACACGTGTGCCTCCCCCATTGTTTGCATGTCCCTCGAGGGAAGGGTCTGAGACACTCGCATCAGCTCTGACTGGCAGCTGCCGTACACCACACCAGAACAAAACCTGGCCCCATCCCGTGCCTCCCCCAGGGACGGGCACCATGTTTGATCCCACTGTTGGAGTCTTACAGTCCATCTCATTCAAAGTCTTCCTCGTTTTCACTGACTCTCTGCTTTATCAAGCCCAGTGTCTTCCTCCAGGCCCTCAGTAATCACAAAAGGCCACTCACTGAGTCCTTGTATGCAGAGCACCTGGGAAATGCCGTCTTGCAATCCTGATGGCACCTCCAGTATGATGGTAAAGACTGTGAGGCTGGAACTGGACCACCTTTGGTGTCAACAGATTGGTTTTGAACAGACTAGATTCCATGGCGTCTTCTGACTCAGAGCCAGAACTCCATTCTTCTGTTAATATTATTTCATTAACCTGCTTGGCAGGAAGCTCTGGTGGCCTAGTGGTAAGAATCCATGCTGCAATCCCAAAGGCACGCGGTTCAGATCCACCAGCTGCCCTGCAGTAGAAGGGTGAGCAATCTCTTCCCTTGTGATTAACAGCTTCTGAAAACCCACTGGAAGGTCAGGTAAGGGTCAGTTCCGACTAAATGGTACAACAACAACAACAACAAACCCTTAGCTGTAACCAAACTCACTGTCATTAAATAATTATAAAACCACCCTCATTGACTTGTTGCTTAATGTATTTAAATTTTGAGACTTAGGTCATGGATAGGTGTTTAGTTAAGCATACCAGTTGTTGTTGTTGTGTACCAATATAAAGTCAGATCCGACCCATAGCTGACCCTCCAGCACGTTTTCAGAGGCTGTTAATCACAAGAGAGGAGATTGCCTGTCCTTCTGCAGAGCAGTGGTGACCTCGAACCACGTGCTTTGGGATTGCAGCACAGTTTCTTACCACAAGGCCACCATAGCTCCCAAAAGTATTCACTATTTATATTTTTTAATATAAAGGAAGTCACTGGGCTGTCAATATCTCTTACCCTTTAATGTCATACTTTCACCTTGAAACAAAATGTTGTTGTTATGTGCCATCAAGTCAGAGCCGACTCATGGCTGACCACCGAGCTGGTGTTTGTTTAGAGGCACTAAATCGCATTGGAAGAGATCGTCCATCTTTCTCTCTCAGAGCATCTGGTGAATTTGAATTGCATACCTTAGGGTTGACAGAACAACTCCTTCCCCTTGGGCCACCAGAGCTCCCTGGACCAATGTCTACTCACAACAAATTCATGACAACCACCTTCACTTCCTGAAAGTGCAGTTTTTAAATCATTGACAAATTTCCCACCTTTTCCTTGTTCTAAAATCAGACCAAATAATAATTGTGTGTACATATTCCTGTTTCCTGGTTCCTCACCTGGGGCTGCTTGTACTGAAATTTTCTAAGTTCTTTTATTGTATGTAGACCACTCTCTATCAGTTCACTCGTGGTTATCTGTGCTGTGAGTGAAGATGGCGTGGGCATCAATCACCCTTTTCTAGTTTTCCTGTCCAGTGACGGTGTGAAAGTGACCACAGACACTGTTGTTCCCATTTTACTGGTGAGCACACTGAGGCTGTTGCTGTCTGCCATCAAGTCGATGCTTACACATGGTGAGCCACAGAACAGGACAGAAATGTCCCGCAGAATTTCCTTGGCTGTAAACTTTACAGGGACAGATTGCTACATCTTTTCTTCTGCAGTATGACCTGCAGAATTTCCTTGGCTGTAAACTTTACAGGGACAGATTGCTACATCTTCTGCAGTAAGACCGGTGGTTTTGAACTACCCATCTTTTGGTTGGAATCCAAACACTCAACCCCTGTGCCACCAGGAATCTCACACTGAGCCAGCGAAGTGAAATAAGTTCTCTTGTCTCCCAGTGAAAGCACAGCTACAGCTTGAATTCAGGCCTTCTGAGACTGTCCAGGGTCCTCTCTCTCCACCCACCATGTGCCTCCTCACCAATCACAGGAACCAGGTGCTGCGCTAGAGGCTTGAATGGCTCAGGTTGTCTGGTAACCATAGAGATCGTGGCGTTCCTTGTGGCAAATGAGATCACCCAGCACACACTGCTCTCAAGATTTAAGTTACAAGAGACCTGGCATTTTCCACAGAGGGCCATTAAGTTTGGAATTCCCTTCCCCTGGTCTGACATGGCCCTTGGGTATTGGTCTTCTGGGTCTTTGCAAACCACATCAAGTTAAGTTAGCCAGTCATGATCACTGAGAAATCCTAGTGGGCAGGAAGAAAGTGCTAAATTGACTCCTAGTTGTGAGCAATTTGTCATTTTGTGTTTTTGGCTGTTTGTATCCCACAGGGTAACGACCACGTGTAATTCTCATTCTTTAAAAAGAAAAGTTTAGTCAGCACAGTTGATAGGATTTTGTTTCTGTGTTCTTACATCATGTCGCCAGTGATGTGATGGTGAAACCTACAGGGAAGTTTTTTGTTTCTTTTGCATAAACCATTTTGCAGTAATTGATCAGCCATAGAGAAAAGATTATCTCCTGTGCACCCGCAGTGCGTTCTCTGGTCACCAGAGACCAATAAGCTGGGTCCCTGGAACTATTATCACTTTGTTGAAGAAGCTGCTATGTGAACAAAAACCAGCCCTCGTTAATTTCCCTTTTCGTATTTAAAAAACCTGTCAGTATTTTCCCTGTGGGAGGGCATAATTTGTCAACAGCGCATATTATTTAGTTCTAAAGAGGAAAGATGGCAGTGCATCTAGGCTTATTAACATCTTATCCCTTAACTTCATGGCCAGACCACAATCTGTTCCCACTCAATGGCATGAACTTCTCTATGCTTTGTAGCGTCTTACAGTGGACTTGTGTTTCATTTCCTAGTTGTTGTTGTTATGTGCCGTCAAGTCGTCTGCGACTCATAGCGACCCTATGCACAACAGCCCTAAACCCTTCCTAGACGATGAGAATTTTAGATATGGAAAATACTTTTGCAGCTAAATTGCACTTGCTTCCCCCACCTCATATGATTTGATCAGTGGAGGTGTTGAGAGCTAAGAGATAAGGTGGTCTGTGCCCATGTCTTAGTCCTTGGGAGAATCAGGATGTACGTTTTCAGTCTAGAGATTTTTCTATCATCCTTTGCAAGGACTTCGTCTGAATCCCTGCAGCCCCCATCACTCTGTGAGCTTCTGAAAGCAGCTATGATTCCTTCCACCTTCCAGCTCTCCATCACCACTGTGTCATGTGCCTAACTAACATAGGACTTCATCTCTGTATTGCAAAAGCCCACAATTGGTACTTGGCTTTCTCTATCTGTTCCTATGCAACCTTTTTGTCACTGCTGAAAAAATTCGAGCAACATTCATGTAATATACATAGAAAGGAATGTTGTTGAGCCTAGCACTTTTGCTGAACTATCATTATTTCTATCCACTTGTGTTGAATTAGAAAAATTCTTTTAAAGGTTAGTCTCATAAACCTGTTAATAAAAGTTGTTAATAAAAGCTTTAATAAAAGTTGTTGATGTTAAACTCTCTCATGTGTATAAAAGCTAGACTCAGTTGTTGTTGTTGTTGATTGCCATCGAGTTGAGCATGACTCATAGCGACCCTATGAATATAAGTCCTGAAGCCTTTCTATAACTATTGTCATTTATCAAAGTTCATAGTTTTCATAGGCATGTTATTTAGGAAGTGGATGCCACTCCTGCTGTATTATATTGTTTTTTATTCTTTTTACAAGTGGGAGAGGGTCATAGGGTGGTCTTTGAAACAAAATCCTATTTATTACAAGTTAACCTGTCTCTTCATTTTATTCAATTTGAGTATTTGTACTGTGGGTGAAGGTGACCCAGAAAATGCTTGCCCTGCCCCGGTGGGCATGACCCATGATGGTCTCATACTCACTCTGCACCGTGTAATAGTTTGTTTCAGTGCTGGAAGGGGTCCTCTCTAAGCTGTCAAGATACGACGAAGGCACTTTCTTCTCCTCCATACTGTCATTCACTGTAAGTATTTGAATTATTCTCCTCAGTTGCATTTTAACTATTGTACTAACAGTGAAGAAAAGAATTCTCATAATTATCTCTTTCTTTCCCGCTGAAGGTAAAAGCAGCTGCAAAATATGTTGATGTCCCAGTAAGTATTATTTTTTTTGTCTGCTTTTAAAGATTGTATCAATTTTTTGGTTCGTAATTACAGTTCACCATGGGTTTATTTGAAATTTTTAAACCAGTGCCATTCCCTAAGGGAGAAGTGTATTTTCTTTAGCAAGCACTAACCCTCGTAACAAGGCTTGGCACTGTTCTTTCTGAGGACTTTTTTCCGTTGTAACTAGGTAGCACTCTTTTATGCAGGTCAGTTTAATGTGAGAATGAAGGTAACACCTCAGTTGCAAAGGATGGTTATAGCCTTCTAAGAAAGGGTAGCAAATGCCTCACACTATTTCTAGAAAAATACTCACCTCTCCTTCCCTTTAGATGAAAGCTCTAACAGGTTTCTTTCTTATAGGAGTTAAACTAACAATAAATAGGGACACGTTGAAAGAATTTCTTTTCTTTTTTTTTCTTTTTTTTTTTT